CAAATTCACTAAAAGCTTGGTAATTACTACTATAATATAATATTTTACAATATTGAACTCTTTGTTTTTTGGTTAAATACAATATTCAGGTTTACTTATACTTAATTTACAATTATGATATTCAGGTGCATCAACTATAGCAATACCATCAAAGAAATTCCTCTTCAGAGAGTCCAATGAATTGCAACAACACAATCTCCACCACCAACTCCAGACAAGTTGATTCAACTCAAAAATCTTTCAACATTTGTTGGACGTGTATATTTTATAATATAGTAATTTCATAAATCTTTATTTTTTAGTCAATTTAAAATATATAACCAATAAACTCATAACAATACTAACCAATAAACTCATAACAATACTAACAATTAAGAAACAATTAAACTACACAATTTTTATTTATTTATTTATTTTTTTATCTAGAGAAACAAACCCAAAAGTTTTGAATAGAATTTAATACAAACTCATAACAATAGTAACAATTAGTAACCAATCAAATCGAATTCATTTTTTACCTTACAACAACCCTAATTGTACTCAAGTTAGAAATTAAAATTCATGAGAAACAATAACAATACTCTAATAGAAATTCCTAATTTGAATACAATTTCAGAGTTAATTTTTTACCTTACGATGATAATTCCTAATTTAACATTCATACTAATTACAATTTTCAATTTAACTTCCTAGACTACTAGATATTGGGTCAATGCTTGTGCCACTGTTATCGATGTAAACCAGAAATTCTGCTATCTATGCTGCCCAAACTGCAACAAAAGCATCGTTGTAGAACCAGAGGACTTCTTTCTTTGCAACTTTTGCAAACAGCGAGTGCAATCGCAACCAAGGTAATAATTAACAATTATGTCTATGATAAAATCTATTCAATTTCATATTATTCAATCCATACTCATGATTTTCTCTAATTTCATATACACTATATTATGCTGAAGTTTAAAGGGTAGATGATGACCTAAGAATGATTACTAAAGAAAAACAAACAAATCATGAGCATCTAAAAAGGGTGACAATAGAGTAATTAGCTAACACCAAAAAAACAAAAAACAAAAAAACTTTTGACAAATAACTTAGAGTAATTTGTGCAAATATTGTGTCATGACAAACAACTAAAAGAAATTTAGACTGTATTTGGATAATGGATTTGAAAAGAAAAAGAAAAAGAAAAATGTAAGGAAAATGGAGAAAAAAAATTAGCTTATATTTATTCACTTTTTCCCTTTCCCTCCACATATCCTTACCTAAATCCTAAATACAAACAATCTTAAAAGAACAGCTGAGAAGCAATTTTAAATTGACACTCCTGGCAAAAAATTGCACGCAAAAAACACGGTTGGCAAAACACAACAAACAAAATCTCAGCAGTGGAGAACCTTTCAATATGATAAGAGACACAACATAGTAACTTGAAGTGAAATCTAACTAACCACAAGCAGCAGATATGCTTATGAATCTATCTCTGCATTCGCCAGAAGTTTGTTATTGTATTATTAAAGCTAAGGAAAAGAAGGGTATATAGACCATAAGAATTTGACCAGACTGTGCAAGTACAATTTAGCCTTAGGCTTGGTTTGTTGCTCTTTTAGTTCAGTTCAAACTCCTAGTCTATAACTCCACTAGAATTCCTTCTTAGAAAGTCAAAATACTCAGCGCTAAACTGCATTAATTGTTTTCTAAAAGTAGATAAACTACCTACAAAAACCAGACAAAATTTACTATGTCACCGATCTAGATCAAATGGTATCAGATCTTAGACAGATTAAACATAGCTAGAAGGAAATTCTGGGGATGAGTCCATCAGGTTAAGTCAATAGATTTATGAAGTACATTTGCAATACCTTCTATCTGAAAAGAAAAATGAGGTAGTTTAGAAAATACCATGAAGATGACCATTTCCCTTAGCACACTGCTATGCCTGAGGAATTTACATCCCAAATCATACATCAATGTAGAATCACACACTTACTGAAAACTTAATTAACAAGGACTCTATACATAGCAACCCACTTAGTTCGAGACAATTAGTTTGTTCACTTTCTTTGAGAGAGCACACTTTGCTCCTTTGCTTGGTGATAACTTTGGATGTTTCTTTGTTATTCGTGCTATAATTTTTCTTCCACAATAACAACAGATGCAGATTTGAAGTAGATTTGACTAATGAAAGTGGCAAAATCATAGCAAGCATTTTTGGTTCTCTTGCTGAAAAACTTTTTTCAATCACTGCTAAGGAATTGATGAAGAACACATCAGATGTAAGTTCTACAACACTCTTCATTTTCTACAATTTCATAATATTTACTAATCATTACAACAACATTTTTCTTAATTCAATAGGATGGACAAACTTCTCTGGAAGTTCTGAAAAAGCTCTCTACAACAAAAAATCACATTTTAGAGTTGTTTGCATATCAATATGATTTTGGTGGCCTATCACAGTGCAAATTTAACATCAATGCACTACATAAAGAATGCGTCATTGCTTCACCAAATCCCAAAGGCTCAGGTTCAGAAACAATCTCTCTACCAACTTTAAAGAAAGCACGTAAAGAACTATTTCTAGCTCAATCAAGTGCATCACTAGATCCAGCAGAATCAGGTAATCCACTTGTCACTTCAGAAGATGCAAAGTGAGAAATGACCATGTTAACTATGACAAAAAACTTAGACTAACTGTAACAACGAAAAAACAATTAGCCTTTTGCTATGTAGTATGAACTACGTTTGGCTTGTATAGTTGAACTCCACTAGCTCATAGGATAGGATCTTTATCTCCTTTTGTCATGTAGTTTCTTCTTAAGTTATAGTCATGTCACGTCCATGAATCCATTTTTTTTGGTTTAAATGGATTCAATATAAAACTTTAGCTATATGTGTTGTACCTTTTGAAAACTGTTGTTAATTCTTAATCTTATCTTAAAGTAGTTCACTTTAACTATACTTTCATCTTCTCCCCTATTGAGTTACACGTATAATGACATAATGATCTTTCATAGAGTATTCCTTTATTAATGCTAGTGCACTACTTTTTCTAAATACGTATAATATCATATTAAGACTCAATTACATAGTTCCTATTATAGTGCCAAATTCATCATAGGCACCATGATCGTGCAACGTATGATCAGCCCCAAACTAGTACCATGTTAAACAAGAGTAGTTGATCAACAAGTCAGCATATCAGTGGCCCAAATGAGATTAAAAACAAAAAATAACGATCTCTCTCTCTATATTGGCCCTGTTTGGTAGGGCTTATTTCCAGCTTATTTCAGATTTTAGCTTAATTTAAATTATTTTGATGTGTTTGGTTTAGCTTAACAAATCAGATTATAGCTTTTTATAAGTCAAAAATCAACTTATTCTTTGAGTGGAGGGGAGAAGCTTAATTTATAAGTCAAAAATCAGCTTATGTTTACAGTTGTAAGGTATAAGCTATTAAGCTATAATCTATAATCATTTTCCCACAGCTCTACCAAACGGAGCCATAGTGGTTAGTCAAAATGCTATACCATGTTATAGCTTATATGAACATAGACAGTATTCTTCTTCTTCATCTTCTTCTTCGTGAGTTTTAAATCAGACCATTCTCCTTCTTAGTGGGTTTTGTTATGATTTTTTGGAAAAGAGGCTTTTTTTTTTTTGTAGGGGTGTGGGGGGTGTTCATTCAATGGATGGAATGTTTAAGGATAATTTTGGTATTATTTGGGGGAAGAAAAGAAATTTTAAGGGTTTCAAAATTTATAAATGGAAGTCCAAAAAAATAAGGGATCCAAAATAATTCATGAGGTGCTAATAGCACCACTCTTTGTCATTTTGTACTTTTTTAGCCCCAAAATGATAGCCAAACTTGGGCTTAATGTAGGTCTGCATAAGATGTCTAAAACATCATTTTTCATTAAGTTTAATGATTAAAATGCTTTCTTTTCTTTTTTTTCAATCAATTTTACATAACAAAAATAGATGAACGATTTATATTGAATACAAATCAAAATATTAGAATTTAAATTAACAAAATTTAAAGCTCAGGGTTTATTTTGGCAAATTACATTAACGGTCCCTATAGTTTGGGGTTTGTATCATTTTGGTCTATGACTTTTCAATTGTAACACATTTAACCCTGAATTTTGAATTTTGTTCCAGGTAAGGATAATTGAAGATACAATTACTCAATTTTAAGAACAAAGTCATCAATTTGATAAAATATAAACTAATTTGACAAAAATAAATGTCAAAAAAATATTTTTGAATTTTTAAAAATTATTTCTACCCACCAAAAATAAAATTATGTAAAATTAATAAATCTTTTACACATTTATTTTTTTTACCAAATTAATTTTTATTATGTGTTTGGATAATGATCATGTAATGGGTGGTTATTTTTATTTTTATTAATTAGTTTCTATTTTTCCAAAACTCAAATATGGTGACAACTTTCATTATTAAATTAATCCATTAAATTAAAAAATTCAAAACTAAAAACATTTCATATATTAAATATATTGATTATACATTAAAAGTTTAACATCCATACATTACATAATCATCATCCAAACACATAATAAAATTTAATTTAGTAAAATAAATAAATAAATAAATGCATAAATGATTTATTAGTTTTACATAATTTTATCTTTGGTTAGTTTATATTTTATCAAATTGATGACTTTAACTTTGAAATTGATCAATGATATCTTTAATTGTCCTTATTTAGAATAAAATTCAAAATTTAAACTCAAATATGTCATAATTGAAAAGTCAAGAACTAAATGATACGAGTTCCAAACTATAAGAATTGTACTATGTTTAGTTGAGAAATTTAAGAAGAAATTTAAATATATATATATATATATATATGTGTGTGTGTGTAATTAAATAAAATATAAATATATTTTATTTATATTTTACTTACTTTTTTCACAGCCGAGTGGGGGTTGGGCTTGGTTTGGTGCATAGATTTTCTCTCTGAGAGAGAGAGAGAGGGGATGCCGAAGAGGATGACGCACATATACTCGAGTGAGGACGCAGCACCAGATGGTCCAGACCCCGGTCTCTTCGTCTATTACTGCATGCACTGTGGATCTCATGTCCTCATCACTGGTTCGCTTCTTTCTCTCTCTCTCTCTCAGAGAGAAAATCAATTTTTTGACATCATTCTATATCATTTCCTTCATGAATACTTATAATTAATTTCTTTTTTTTAAAATAATTATGAAAGAATTAATAAAAATAAAAATAAATAATATCTAGCCATATAATTCATGATACAACCAAGTATGCTATTTTTTGTGTATTTCATTATTATGATTGTAATTCATTATTTTCTGTGATACCTCCAAGATAAGGATAGATATAGGGGAAATTGTAAATCAGTAGGAAGACAACAAAAAACTTACAATGTGATGGAAAAATTTATAATTTCAATTATTAGAGTTAATAAATTTTATCATTGATTTGAAATTTATTTTATAAATATGGACTGACTTGTAATTTCTCCATATATGTAGGAATGGTCCTTCTATTATACACACTCCAAGAAGGAATGTACCATATGCAAATCAAATGACCTTCATAGCCAACATAACAACCAAGTCATAATTAAGTTATAACAAATATTAATGGGTTATAACAAAATAACAATCTTAATAGATTATAATTAAAGATGTATTTGAGAAAAAAAAAATTAGTCAAAATACAAAAAACTAAAGATTTCTTCTCATTCTTTCTACTTTTTGCATTTTTTTTTATAAAAAATAATAGGGAAAATCAAAAAAATCAAAAAAAAAAGATCCAGAATTTAACCCTTATAACAAAATAAATCTTAAGTTTTTAATTTTGTTCATTTAAACCCTAATCTTTTAATTTATTTTAATCTAAACCATTCATCTATTTTCATTAAGTAAAATTAACTAAAAAAGTGTATTTTAGCCTTTAAACTTAAGTTTAGTTTGGCATTGGCTAATATAATCAAAACATTTTGTGTTGGAACTTTTTTAGTCTTGTTTTTTTAGCCTCGTTTGGTTTGAATTTTTTGACTTTTTTGACTTTTTTGAGAGAAAAAAGTGAAATGATTATGGATTGGATGTAATATTTTGTCTTATTAGCTTATTTAGCCTATTTTGTCATTGAGTGCCGCTATTAGCACCTCATAAATTATTTTGGTCCCTCCAAATAAAATTATTATAAAAGACATCATTACTTTTGGGACATTCCATCTCACAATTAAACCTACACCCACTACACCATGAATTAGGGTTTATGAAAGCACCCACATCCATCACCACCCATCTATCTTTCCCAAATCCTACCTTCAAAACTTACCCACTCTCAAAACCTTGAAAACCCTTTGACAACAATATTCCCACTGTAATGATGGCAACCATTTGATTACCTACATTTCTCCAGCAATGACAATGAGTGGAAGTTTTTCTGACAACCATAACTCCATAAGACGAAAGGAGTATAATAATAAAAACTTAGAGGAGCTTCATAACTTTTGCACGTGCCTAGTCCCTCGCAGTGTGTCAACATATTGTCTGCTTTGGGATTCGGCCGTGAGAGCTTGCCCCCTTACGGTTTTGTTCCTCTCCCTGGAAGAGGGGAAAAGGCCTGTTGACAGATGGAGGGGGCCAGTACGCTTATAAGGTAGACGAGGAGTCCCTTCCGAGTCAATATGGGATAGACCCAACACAAACCCCTAGCGGACTGGGCCACGAACAGCGGGAGAGTTTCCGGACGCCCTTCTTCTAGCACCAATGCACGTGCCTGGCCCCTCGCGGTGTGTCAACATATTGTCCACTTGGGGGTTGGGCCGCTGAGAGCTTGCCCCCTCACGGTTTTGTTCCTCCTCCTGGAAGAGGGGAAAAGGCCTGTTGACAGATGGAGAGGGCCAGTACGCTTATAAGGTAGACGAGGAGTCCCACCCGAGTCGATGTGGGATAGACCCAACAACTTTGATATTGTTTTTAGCTTAGAGGAGATTGGCCTTGTAAAGGTAAATTTTTTTTAAAAATGGCAAAAATAATAAAATTTGTTTCTTTATTTTTTTGGAACTGAACTCCTGAACATATGACTGAAATTTGGAAACACAGGCCCGAACATTGTTTATTTGTTTGGAAACAGGTAACCGAACATTATTCATAGGTTCAGACCTATTTTATTGATCACATTTTGAAATTTAATTTGTATTGTTATTTATTTCAAGATGATGGTGAGTTAACAGTTAAAATTCTTAACACTCGCATAAAATTTACTTCTTCAAATTCGAGAATACAGACCCAAACATTATTTATTTGTTCGGAACCACATTTCTGAACATAACTTACTTGTTCGAGAATACAGGTCTGAACATGAAAGAAACTCGCTATTTTTGGGTACACTACGACCTTGTTTTGTTTTGTTTATGGCTCTCCCTCAATTCTCACCACACACATATTATCCACACTGCCACAGTCCAAGACAGAGATAGAGAGAAGAAAGGAAGGATATGTTATGGTAGAAACAGGAGCACATCAAAAGGCTATACCATGTTAAACAAGAGCAGTTGATCAACAAGTCAACATATCAGATGGCCCAAATGAGATTAAAAACACAAAAATAAATATCTCTCTCTCTCTCTCTCTCTCTGTGTAGTAGTTAGTCAAAAGGTTATACCATGTTGTAACTTATATGAACATAAACAATATTCTTCTTCTTCTTCTTTTTTCTTCGTGGATTTTGAAAAGGATGAGACTTTTCTTCTTCTTAGTGGGTTTTGTTAGGATTTTTTAGGAGGGAGGTTTTCTTTATAGGTGTGAGGGGTGTTCATTCAATAGATGGAATGTTTAAGGATAATTTTGGTATTATTTGGGGGGAGAAAACAAATTTTATGGGTTTCAAAATTTATAAGTGGGGTCCAAAGAAATGGGAGTCTAAAATAATTCATGAGGTGCTAATAGCACCACTCTTTGTCATTTTGTGCTTTTCTAACCCCAAAATGATAGGCAAACCAGGGCTTAATATAGGCTTACATAAGATGTCTAAAACATTTTTTTTCATTAAATTTAATAATTAAAATGCTCTCCTTTTTTTTTAATCAATTTTACGTAACAAAAATAGATGAACAATTTATATCAAAAACAAATCAAAATATTAGAATTTAAATTGACAAAATTTAAATCTCATGGTTTATTTTGGCAAATTATACTAACGGTATCTATAATTTAGGACTTGTTTTACTTTAATCATTGACTTTTCAATTGTGACACATTTGATCATAAATTTTGAATCTTATTCCAAATAAAGATAATTGAAGATACCATTACTCAATTTCAAAGGTAAAATCATCAACTTGATAAAATATAAACTAATTTGATAAAATTAAATGTCAAAAAAATATTTTTAAATTTTAAAAATTATTTCTACTCACGAAAGATAAAATTATGTAAAATTGATAAATCTTTTACACATTTATTTTTTTACTAAATTAATTTTTATTACAGTATGTGTTTGGATGATAATCATGTAGTGGATGATTGTTTTTATTTTCATTAAATTATTTTCTATTTTTTCAAAACTTAAATATGGCGACGATTTTGATATGAGTTATGCTAGGGACCCCAAACAAATTACCAAATTTTCTACCAAATCTCTCACATGGGTGTGGGACCCACACACATGTGAGAGGTTTGGTAGAAAATTCGGTAATTTATTTGGGATCCATAGCATTTTCCTTTTGATATTATTAATAAATCAACCCATTAAATCAAAAAATCTAAAATTAAAAATATTTCATATATTAAATATATTGATAACACATTAAAAGTTTAACAACCACACATTATATGATCATAATCTAAACACATAATAAAAATTAATTTGGTAAAATAAATAAATAAATAAATACGTAAAAGATTTATCAATTTTATATAATTTTATCTTTGGTGGGTAGAAATAATTTTTAAAAATTAAAAAATATTTTTTTGACATTTATTTTTGTCAAATTAGTTTATATTTTCTCAAATTGACGACTTTACCGTTGAAATTGAGTAATGGTGGTATCTTCAATTATCCTTATTTGAAATAAAATTCAAAATTTATAATCAAATATATTATAATTAAAAATTCAGAGATCAAAGTAATACGAGTACTAAACTATAAGGATTGTTAGTGTAATTTGTCCTATTTTAATTTAAATTAATTATAAATTTATATTCTTATTTTATAATTATTAAATTTATAATAAAAATATTTCATTACATATTGAAATGAAGAGAATCAAAGTCGGTCTATGCTCATCCAATTAGATTTTCAAAACACACCTAACTTCATTTCCACAAAAAAAAAAAAAAAAAAAAAAAACTAGAAAATATTGGATTATCATCTTTGATTTTGATATTTAGAGTGTTTGTGTTTGTGTTTTTTTTTAAAATTTATTTTGGTTTTTAACTTGTTGAGACTGCTAATTTTGGCTTCTGACTGTGATGCTCATTAATTGGATTTGCTATATTTGATGATTGTAAAGAAATCATTGGAAAAGTAACATTAATTGGATTTGCTATATTTGATGATTGTAAAGAAATCATTGGAAAAGTAAGCAAAACCTAATATCTTACCAGTAGTCCCATCCCATCCCTTGCTGTGCTGTGAGATTTTAACTTCTCCCCTCCCTCTTACCTTTTTTAATCTTCTAACCAATTGTAGGAAGAAATATTTGGAGCAAATCACATTTTATTGAAAAAGATGCAGATTCTATTTGAAGCACTATGAAACCAACCATCTTATCTCCGTGTTGCAGCCAAGCAAAGAGCTTAGTCATGTCAGCCCTGCTTCAATTTTTCTCTTTTGCACTTTAGGGCCATGTTTGATTCACAATACTAATAGTGAGGTATTAATAATCCTATCAAATTAGTGTGGTATTAACTATCCCACCCCTACCCCATTACTAATTATCCTACAAATTTGTTGGATTAATTATCCATTGGATTAATAGTCCTAAACCAAATGTCAAAACAAACATAGGATGATTGGGCCCACGGATTAATAATCCTAATCCCACACTTTAATCCTTCCAATCAAACATGCCCTAGAAGTGCAAGTTCATATCCTGTTACATTGATCAGTTGGGTATGAATGTAAATTGCTTGAGGTTTGCCTGGTGCGCGCAAGTTGGCTTGGATACCCAGTTATCAAACCAAAAAAAAAAATTGAATGTAAATTACTTGCATGTGTATAGAGACTTGAAAAGCTAACATTCTGAAGTTTTACTAAAAACCAGATTTCACTGGTAATATAGAACTCCATTTTTCATATGCTCATAGCATCCTTACAAGTATCAGAACACTTTGTTTGCCCTAGATTTTAGGTGTGCTTTCAATTATTTATTTTAAGTAACAATAGACCATTTGTGCAAGTTGGTACCAGACAGACACTGCAATTAAACTTTGTTGCGAATTGCATTTCTACTTAAATTTTCATAGCTCTTGTGCGTCAATGCTGCAGCCCTTTTTGCCCGCTAAAATATATTTTTTATAAGATACCCAGTTGCAGAAAATGCCGAAAAGGAAAACTGACAAAGCATATGTATTGGACAAGAAGAAGCATCTTGCAAGGCTCAATATAAATGAGGCCGGAAAAGTTCTCTTAAAGCGGTAATTTCTTTTAGATCTCCATCGTGTGGATTCTTTTTCAGTATTTCAGAATAATTTTTAATATGTTTTAGATGTCAGTATTGTGCAACTTTATTTACCAATTGCCATGGGAAAGTGTAAAACTTGCAGTGTTCTCATGATAAAGGCCTTACTGTTTGCTGTTGTTGTAGCTGGGGATCACATGTATCATGCAATATGTGATAATTTCAGCCAAAAGTATCTTGTTTTTATCTGTAGTAGGATGCATTCTTATTGTGTATGATTTGAATTATAGTGGGATTTGGTAATGGAAACTTTTAAACAGCTGTGGGGGTAGATGGAAACACGTTGGATTTGGATCACCTTTAAAAAGTGGTTATTTATTCGTTTTTATCATTGGATACTACAGACTAAGAGAAAAGTGCATTTCTGAAAGCATTCTGTGCGTGAATATTGCTCCTCATGGATATTTGTGTCTACTGTTTCCTATTTTGTCTTTCATTCTTATCTATCATCACATCTCTTTCTATGGAAGACGCTCGAATAAGAATGCTACCCAGAAATTATAAACTCTGTAATTTGTGCAATAACAATGCTGAGAATGCACTCATGTTTCTTTATATTTTTTTGAACTTTTTTTTTTTATTGGCACTAGGGTGTCCGGATCAAAACCCGATTAATCCTCAAGGGTGCACATGCCCTTTATATATATATTTTTAACTTATATTTGGCTTTTACCAAATTTCTATTTGTTCGTTCCATCATTTCAACAAGAATTTTGAAGCATGTAAAATGTGGTATAGAGCTTTGGTTGTTAACACAATTTTGTGCAAAAAAGCTGCCTTAAAGTGCCCAATGCTCTATAGTAAAGAAAAATAATAATTCTGATAGGAATTTCACTGAAAGAATATCTGAAATTGGTAAGTTGAACTTGCAATTTTATGTGGATGCTATAAAAGGTTTCTGCCCCTTTTTTTGTATTGTAATTAACCTTAAAATACATTCTATGAGATCCTCCACCTCACTGCACTAATCCCTTGATCCATTGTTTGTTTGTGTTTACGAGCAGGGAGAAAGGCATTGTATGTTTAAGCCATTTACTTTAGACACTTAAAGGCTGACCAAGTTGCCATTTGTGTTACACGATGATCCCATACAAGTTTCCTTTTAGTTGCAAAAAAATTACACAGAATTTTTGTGCTTAGGGTTGGATTTGATAAATGAAAAGAGGCATGAGGATGTAGGATTGTCTAAATTTGGGAGAAAAATGTATGGTTCTCTCTCTTTGATTATGACTGATCACCTGCCCTTCGTGTTTGCACCTCATAGCTTTTACATTTTTAGGGTTGAATACTATTGTGGTTGTGCCTATTTTACTTATTAAAAAAAAAAAAAAAAAGGTATTTGCATTGAGTTTTATATTAGCAACTAACTTCATCATCCAGTGGGGAAGGTAAATTGGAGAAGCAGTTCCGAATGAACTGCATGGGATGTGGGCTGTTTGTTTGCTATCGCTCAGAAGAAGATTTGGAGTTTGCCTCTTTCATATATGTGGTCGATGGTGCACTTAGTACAGTTGCTGCTGAAACCAACCCACAGGTAATGAATACAAAGGCATAATGTCATTCATCATCTATGTTTCTTAGTTATTAAACTCAAACAAAACTACTATTATGACTGTTTATGACAGTCCCTGCTTGTTGGATTGAAAATTGAAATGCCGCAATAGTGCAATTGTAGCAGGCATGATGTGTCTATCGTTTATTTCACTACTTCATTTTACTATATGTTAGTCTCCCTGAAGTTCAAACTTCTGTCATGCAATTGTGGATTTTATATTTTATTTTTGCTTTCTCTGGTTTACCTCATACTAGAATATCTGTAAATTCACAGTAGAAACTAAAAACTTTGAAATTTGGTATTTCTGATCTTGCTTTAGGATGCACCAGTACCACCCTGCATATCACAGTTGGAAGGAGGACTTGTTCAAGTTGCAATAGAAGTGGAAGACCGCGCACAACGCACAGCAATCACAAGTAAACTGATTCTTCAATCGGTCCTTTTTTTGCTGGGAAAATCTGTCTGTTTGGACTAGAATGTGTATGATAAAATGTGTTGCCTGTTCAAATCTGCATGCAACATCCAAATTCATTTTTGGTATGTGAATAAAAAATAACCTTGTGCATTCCTCAAGAAATAGTGTATTTAAGCAAAAACAACATCATTTCGAACAGATATCATTTTTATTTGACTGAATTTGCATTTTTATATTCATAGTTCTTGGTCTATATACTTTTCAGAAATAACTTGGGGTTGTAATTATGAGAAATGGAGTGATCTTCAAAGTTGGAATGTCAGAAAGAGGGTGATCCAGAGATCACTGTAGTATACTTTCATGCACTGAGAATTTAATTCTCTCATAACTCCATCAATGCAAAGAGGATAAAAATGTCTGTTTTTACTTTAACAAATAAATTGTTTGTTTTAAAGTAATGCAGCAATGTATTATGTTTTATTGGTGATACCACCACCATCACAACAATTGCATAGATAATAGAGTAATGGGAGATGAAGAATCATAAAGTGGTTTAGGAAGTATGATGCAAATGTTACAAGAAGCATATATGAAGCAGTCTTAAGTTAAGGAATTGGGAATGGTGTCTTCCTCTTCTCCGTGTCTGTCACTTTTTTGGACAGATGGGGGACAATATTTTCCAGAGAAGCAACTGTTGCAATTTGTTGTCTAACACTGTCAATCTTTGAATTTTGATGACTCTTTAGTTACATATAATTTGCTTCTAGTTCTTGGAATATTTGTTGACCACTTTTAACAATTAATCAATCAGTTAAGTTCCTAGTACCAAGAAATGAACCTCCATTAATCTCCATGGGTGATCCTGGAGATTGATATATGATCTTAATTATTTCCAAGTACAGATTTTGAGATTGCATGACTTGAAAGGGGGAGAGGGAATTGTGTGCTTTATGGTGTGCTTTGAGGTGTACTTTCCTGTGGTGCTTCAAGCTTCCAAGGTGGATAACCTTTTAGGCCTCTGCAAGCTGGGATTAACACAACCTTTTATTTCTCTTATTATTGAAACATGTGGTAATTTCTTTCCCAAGTGGATGTAATAATTTCCATTCGGTGAGATGCAGCCATCAAGTTTTTCCTTGTGCAAATTGCAGTGATTGTCTTGATTGGTTACAATTTACCCTCCAATATATCTTTCTAGATTTGACCATTTTCCTAAAATATGATTAACGGATCTACTCTCATCAACTCCAGAACCTCATATTTGCATTCTTTCCAGGAGTGAATGCTGATGATGTTCGAGTGACTGTAGCCGCACCTGCAGCCCGTGGGGAAGCTAATAGTGAACTCTTAGAATTCATGGGCAAGGTAAGCTTGATGCTTAACTTAGTCTAAATAACCAGAGCCCACATTTCTGAATTTTGACATAGTGCTGTTGAGCTGAGCCTGTTTACTTCTCTGGTACAGGTGTTGGGTTTGAAACTGAGCCAGATGACCCTTCAGAGAGGATGGAATAACAAATCAAAGCTCCTTGTGGTGAGTTAAATTACTGTACACAGTTGTGTCTGCATGTACTGGTTCACACACTTGTTCTAATTTGGTTATTTTTTGTGGGAGTGCAATTGGTGATTTTTCTCACCTCCTAACCTCAGCTGTAGAGATATACGGGATGAGTTAGTTTCGCATGCCAATATCATGTTTTCATCTTAGTCATAAAAAAATTGTTTTTGTTTTGTTTTTTTTTTTTTAACAATTGTTTTTGTTAGAAAATGGTTTTTTACCTCGTTCTCCAATATACTACCATAAATATCAAATGGCATTTGATATTGTCTCATTAAACTGCAAATCAGATTATTATGTTGGAGAGGTAAGTTGACCTAAATTAGCTTAACGAAAGTTCACATGTTAGAGTTCATTGTAAGTCGTTAAAATTCTGTTGCCCTATTATCCTACAGGTTTCCTTTTTTCCCATAATGACCATCCACATGATATTGTCTTTGATTTTCTTGTTCTCTTTGCTATGAATTGTCTGCAAATTTTGCATCTTAAGATGTTAAAAAAAATATTAGTTTGATGATGTTCGACTTTTGAACCAGGTGGAGGATTTGTCTGCTAGACAGGTGTATGAGAAACTTCTTGAAGCCGTTCAACCTTGAAACTGCTTTATGAATACAGCTTGGATGCTGACCTATTTGATGCGTTTGTTCTTATGTTGACATTTTACTCTCTGCAATTTCTTTGCAAACTGATTCTGTGATTATCTTCTGTAATTTATGATTTTATAATTTGATCCGTGTGGATGTTTTACCAGTGGTGTAATGATTACCGGATAATCATAACAATCTATTAGGTATCAATATTATAGCAAAGCTTTGATAAAGAAAAAGTAAAGAAAATTTGTATACAAGAATCTCGTACAGCATGACAAAACTTTTTTGGTGCATCGAAGGAGAACGTTGTTGGTGCATAATTTTATTGTACTATGTTCTCCAAATATATATATGTATATATATTGTACAATTGTTGTTTTGGAAGATTGGCATCATTTTCAACTACAAAGTCTATGAAAAGAGTAGCAATTTTCAAACAAAGAGATAGTTCCACCAGATGCAATTTTGGATACAAAGGACCACCCCCTAGAGTTGTAAGAAAGTTTTCTATTTATGCCCCGTGTTCATTTGGCCGGACATGGTAATGAGAATGGATTAATAATCCAATAAAATATATAATCTCACATTTTAGCTTTAAAAATTTAGAATCTGATTTAATAATTCACACAGATAATATATCCTCCACATATAGGAGATTATTGAATCTCCAATGCGAGTTGGGATATAAAACTAGGGAGTTAAGAGAGATTCAAAATTGACTAAATTACAAAATTAATAAAATACCAAAAACCAAAACCACTACGTCTCCAATACCAAAACCAATTAAAAAAAAGAGCACAAAATTGAGAGCAATGAAACGGATGGTTTAAACAAGCAACATCACATAGATTGAATAACCAATGAACCACAACATGTCTCCAATGAAACACAGCAAATCAGCAGAACCTACTCAATAAGCAAAAACCATCAAGTTCCATCTGAAAATTCTAAACTCTCTTGAGTGATAGTAATTTAAGAATCTAACAAAAATCAAATTCACAAATAGCATTCTTAATAGAACACAAAATATGTTTCCATTAGATAGGACAAAGAAATGAAAATCATCCTCAGTTTCTGGAATCAGGCTCTATTACTGTGTTATTCAAGAAGCAGTGCCACTGCGTAGAGCTTTGTTGCTCTTCTTGGTCCTTGAAGCCACTTGCATCTCAGGCTGCAAAACAAATAAACCTTGTAAGATACAATCCTGGACATGAATGGTTAAATGCAAACAAGGTTTGAAAAACACAAAATTAAACTGATCAGTTCATGTTTAGAACAGACACGACATCAAATATCTTCAGCAAGATTCATTTGTTTTGGCAAAAAAAAAAAAATTTCCTATGAAAACAATTTTCTAGAAAATATTCTGTAAAAACATTTTCCTGTGTGTGGTTTCAATCTTGAAACTAATGGGCTAGTAGTGGTGTGGAGTGATGGTGGTTAGTTGTGGTGATGGCCGTGGCTGCAGCAGCTATAGTCCAGAAAACTTTTTCCACATTTCTAAAGCAGAAAATGTTTTTCATCCAAATAAGTTTGTTTTCCGTTGACAAAAAACATTTTCCACCGTACCAAATGCAAGAAAATGAAATGTTTTCCTCCAATACAATGGAGCGTTAGATGCATTTCAGCATAGAATGTTTTGATGGATTACCTCCTTTTTGACTGGTTCTTCCTTCTCGGACAAAATCAACTCAATATGGCAGGGAGATGACATGTAAGCTGCAAAAGCAAACATCCGTTAAAGTGCACATACAAAATAACAATAGATATTAAATCCAATGATGGAAACCAAGCACTCACGGTTGATTCTTCCATGAGCACGGTATGTGCGACGCCTCTGCTTCTGGGCTTGATTTACTTGGATGTGGGATATGTAAAGTGACTCAACATCCAAACCTTTCACCTAACAAACACACAAAAGCAATAGACATGTTAAACAAAGCTGAAACCAGAGAGAGAGAGAGAGAGAGAGAGAATTGGTTAATATGATACACACTTCTGCATTACTCTCAGCATTCTTAAGTAGATCCAAAATATATCCCGCAGATTTGACTGGCCAACGTCCTTGTCCATTTGAATGTCGGTTCTTTGCCTGAGCAGTTCGCCCAACACCGCGGCAGAAGCGAGTGAACGGAATGGCTTGTTTGTGGGCAAGAACATCCTCCAAATAGCTTTTGGCCTTGGATAGAGGCAATTTTCGAATTGCATGGGCAGTCTCTCTTGTATTCTGAGAATAGATAATAAAAACAGTTGGAGTCAGAGAGATATACATATAGACATGATCACTATAGTGGAAAGAAGCTGAATTAATATCAGTTCCAGAATAAACAAATCTTCTGCTATTCAGGTCTAAACTCTATAGAAGATGAGTTGTGGCAAAATGCAGAAATCAGGTACTATGCCAGAGAACATAACAAAAATGCCAGTATAAATAGCATCATACAGCTGATAAATACACGTGCAAAACAAGACAATGAAAGATGGAATCATGACATAATAGGGTTGTGGGCTGTGGTCGATTTGCTGTATTTGCTATTTCACTATCATATCACTAAATTCTACCACTTGACAATTTAAACATATTCAGAGAAGCAGTTAACTCAAGTGGACCCCAAAAATGAGTGTAAGCAAGCAAAGGGCCATCATAAGTGACAAATGGAGCATCTAAAGTCAAGAGCAATCAAGGAATAAAATGTCCATGTATAACCAAACACATCCTGTACTACATGACATAAGTGCTTAATTACAATACAAAGGTATAAAACAAGTCAAACCACATTGCCACATAAGGTAACATAACGATGCCATATTGCATGCTACATAACTAATGTTTGGATATCTCAGTTCTGAGTAACTTTTGCTTACTAATGGGTGCCTCCCTACTCATGCTAGTTATGGCTTTAACTTTAATGTTGTGTTTGATTGGGAAAGAATTTGAAAAGAAAAATGAAAAAGGAAGGTGAAAAGTGAATAAAATATACCATTCACCTAATTTCACACACTTTTTCCTTTTCCTTTTTCTTTTTCAAATTCTTTCCCAAATCCCCCACCAAACACAGCATAAGACAAATTGCTGGGAATCATGATAGTCCATAATCAGATATGGGGAAAACCATTTAATATCAGAAGACGAAATACTAATCAAATTTCAACACCTGACTATTATATTTTACTTCTTGAAGGGAAGGGAAGTCTCTAAATAAGAAGAATCAAGCTAGCAAATTAAAGATCTGTTCAGTATCGTTTTTGTTTTCTATTTTTTGTTTCCTGAAAAACAAAAAGCTTGTTACGCTAACCTTTTTTTTGGAAATTATTTTCAGACAAATTTTCAAAAAGAAACCCGTTTTTTAAGAAATACCCAAAAAGTAGGTTTCAAGTTTTTGAAAACTACTTTCACGCAAAAGTTTGAAGATCCATATGATAAAATAATACCATACAGGTCCTCTTCCTAAATCCCTAACTATAGAAGACTCATCAACTGTTCTTACATTGGGCTACAAAGTGTCCAGAGTGCTATTGGAATGCATCATCAGTACGTGTTAGATGGTCAGCGACTTCAATTTTGATTTTATGTTTCATATTGGAAAAATCCAGAAGCAAACTCTGTCTAGTTCAAGAGTGAAAGGTTAACAGAAACATTTTTAACAAAAATATAATCCTCAGCACAATTACTTCATCCTCAATTCTCTGTTTTGTACGTTGCATAGTACTTATAAAAAACACAGGTCATTTGTTTGTATTCGAGTTGAAAAGGTGATCAACATCTCCCCAAATTAGAGGAACTAGACAAAGCCAACAACAGATCACAAGAGATTTCAATGAAAAAAACTATAATTTGGATATGGAGAGCAGTTAAAATGTGCCATTATATAGTGAACCATCTGCCACTAACGTACTTACATAGGTTCACCAAATCACAATGCAACAATTTCCCTCCAGTTTTCAAGAGACCGATCCACAAAAGACGACGAGCCCTGTTTTTTTTTTTTTTTTTTTTTTTTTTTTTCATCAGGCTGAGTAAGAAAGAAACACAAAAGCTAATCCTGACCTCCATAAGCATACTTACTACGAATCGAAAGTAGAACTATAATTTTATCCTACAAATCGCAGATGACCATAAGACAGACCAACCCGCAATACCATTAATTCAACATTCTTACATCAATTTATCATAACACCATCAATTCAGGAACAATCTGATACAACACTACAATATATGATTCAAGATTGAGTAATAGCACACACGACACTACAGATACAATCGCAAATCCATATGATCAAACTCCAATATCAACATACCTTGAAATGAACTCGGAGATCGGAGCCCCTAGCTTTGCACGCTGAAAAAAAAAAAAGGCATCAGAAAAAAAAATAATAACAATAAGATAAAACCCATGATTTAGCAGATCAGAAAAAAAAAAATAACAATAAGATAAAACCCATGATTTAGCAGGCACAATTGCGCTGTTTGGAAGCCGAGAAAACGGAGGAAAACATTCAAGAAAATTAAAACGAAATAAAAAAAAAAAGGCCAATTCTTGTGAAACTCAGCGTCGACAACGTTTAGAGAACTTACACTTGGTGGGATTGTCCGGTTCCTTCGAATACTTCACCTGAAACATCAACACAACGCAAAACAAAACAACAGATTACATTGACATATATATATATATATATGAATATTTTAAGCAAATCAGGAGAGAGATTGACCATGGCGGCGGCTCCTCCTCCTCCTCTGGTGGTGGATGTGTTCACGGATCCCAACCAGAGAGAAATGAGCTAGGGTTCCTTATGAATATATGAGACTGAAACCCTAATATAAGGGTTTACTTTACTGTAGTGTGACCGTGCTTCTCAATGGGCCCAACTCACCTTCATAACTATTGGGCCTTGTATGGAATTACGGTTAAGTTTTGTTGACATTTTAAATATACCGTTAAGTCCTCAACTATCCATATTATCCTCACTACACCTACCAACACCATTAAATCTTTCTCTGTTGTCATCAATGGTGCTCGTATCAACCACCGTCCTTGTCCTCCTCCCTTGCTACCATTATCGCTCACTCCACACCACTATCATCCTCATTCATTGATTGTCATTGACATTCCCGCTATTGCCACAATCTTCCATTACCAATCTATTGTCTTTAATGACGAACTTCGTCGATAGTTTCAGATTTAGGTAATTTCAATGCAAATCTACTATATTCAGCTCCAATCTAGTATTGTACATAGTTTCCAGTGAGATCAAGACTTTTTAAAGACCACCGCCGCCTCCATTGTTGTCATTGCCGGCAACCTCAATCGGCATCTTCTTCCACTTTCACCATGGCTTCCACCGATTTTTGCCACCGGGTCTTCTCTCTCACTCTATTTTTGTATATTAGGGAAGATTTCAGTGATAAATCTATTTAAACCAATGATAAATTTGTTTAAATTAATAAATTTGTTTAAACCATTGATAAACCTGTAATAAACTTGTTTAAACCAGTAATAAGTCAGTGATAAATTTGTTTAAATTAGTGATAAAATTGCAATGTTAAGTCTAGGAGTAAAAATGAAAAACACTGTTTGATTTTTTTTTAGTAGAACCTGCTGGGTAATAAGACAGATCCATAGGATCGGCCCGTAACTCCCCTTTCCCTTCCCATTCCATTATTGTTATTATTATTATTATTATTATTATTGGAATTTTTACCAGTCAATCTCAATAATTGAATCTATTACCTATTAGGTCCTAAGTTTTTATCTTATGCACCAGGAAGTCCTGTTATATTTTTTTAATCTCGATTTTGCCCCTGCTGTTATACTGCCAGAGCCATTGATTGCGCCACTATAATGTTAGAGGAAGGCGAAGGGGTCATGGCGTTGATGGTGGTGAGGAAGTTTGCACCGAAAATTCGACAATCGAACGGTTGTTCGTTGGTTGTGGTAAACACAAGAACTGCCTCTGTGACCCTTGGATTTGAGAGAGATGGTGTTAGATCTGAGAGAGATCAAGAAAATCGACATGAATAGAGATGGGTGTGTCGCTATTGACGAGTTCGAAGCTCTATACCAGTTAATAATAGATGAGCGAGACGAAAAAGAAGACATGAGAGAAGCATTCAGGGTGTTAGATCAAAACGGTGATGGGTTTATCTAGGTATTTTCAATGCCGATCGGAACTCCCATCTTGTTTAAACTAGTGATAACTTTATTAGTAAATTTGTTAAAATCAGTGATAAATTTGTTTAAACCAGTGATAAATTTATCACTGTTGAATTTGTTAACAAATTTACAAATAGCACACTTGATTTGAGAGAGAGAGAGGGGGGGCATCACAACAAATTTATCACTAAATTGTAACAAATTTATCACTAAATTTAGTAACAAATTTATCAGATCAGTTGCACGTTTGTAGAAGATCAACAACACCTTTCAATGCACTGATTGGATACTTTGCATCCTAAACCGATGATGGAAGAAGATGATGGCAACGACGATGTCGAAGATGGTAGATCGGTGACGGAAGAAGATAGTGGCAATGACGATGTCAAAGATGGATGATGGAGGAAGAGTAGTGATGATGACAACGAGGGAGAAGGAGATAGTGATTGAGACAAGCGACATATACGGTGATAAAGGAAGAGAATGAAGGAAAGGATGAGGAGATTGTGTGCCAATGACAAAAATAGGAGAGAGAGAGAAAGAGAGAGAGAGAGATGTATTTGGGTTTAGAATAAAATCACTTAACTGAATATAAGGGGTAAAAATGAAAGATGGACTAAATTATTTTGGGTCAGAACTTCCTAGGAATTAAGTTTGGTCCAAAGGACCGGCCCGTAACTCCTTCTCTTTTTTTTTTGGTAATTACTTACCGCTATAAGGACTTGTACATTATTACCGCTATAAGGACTTGTAAGTCTCACAAGTATTTGTATAAATCAAAAAATCTCACAAGTGTTAGTGATTTTTTTGTGATAATTTTTTAAATCTGTCATTAAACAATGACAATTAATTACTTTTTTTTATAACAAATTTTTTAATTGTCGTTAAAAAATTAAAAATTAGTGATATTTTTTTATGAAAACACCTCTAAGCAAATAAAAATTATGATTTTGTGATAACATTTAAAAGTCAATAGAACTTTTTAATGCACAAAAAAATCAAAAGCACTTATTGATGCACTCATTTTTGCAGTCAATTCCTTTTCTTTCTTTCTTTTTTTTTTTTTTTTTGGTTTTTTGGGTGGGGGTGGGGGAGGGGGGTGTTGGTGGTGGTAAATTGCAACCTCCCTAAGTCTTGGACAAAATACAATAGCTCTCACAAGTTTGACAAAATTACATTGGGTTCTTTTAATTCACATGACATTTGGCATTTCTTTTTCATCATAAATTAGTTAGTTGTAAACATCAAAATTTATTGAGTTGAACGGTAAATTGTTTATATTTGATTTAAAATTAGGTTTCGTTTGCTTTTGAAAATAGTTTTGAATTGTATTTTAAAAGATAAATTGTTGAAAAATAAAAATTTGTTTGGTTATGAGTTCTGAAAATAATTTTGGAATAATTTATAATTTATTTTATTTTTTATGTAATTGAATAGATGGATGGGAGAAATTTTTTGATTCATTGATGTATATAATGTGAGAGAGGAAAGAGAAAACATGATCGATTGATTTATTAATAATAAAAAAAAGAGAATTAGGGAGGAGAGAGAAAAATTAATTTTAAAAAGAGTTTTAAAAATTGATAAATCAAACATGTTTTTTGATTTTTTTTATCCAAATATTAATTTAAAAAACTAAACAATTTTTAAATATATTTAAGTTTATCAACAAAATGTAAACCAGTTGTCACGACCCAAACCCGCCCCTATGGGTTTAGCACCGTAACCGGCTAGTAATCCGAGATTACCAAAGGCCCGCTTAACAGTAATACAGTAAAACAGGGTACAGGGGCCTGGCGGAAGCCAATACAGTAAATAAACAATGTCCAATGAGCTGTGACAGTCTGTATGCAAAAGACTTTTTCATACATATATGCAGTCAGTGACAAAACAGTGTGTACATATATACAATCATTCAGTTCATGGACCTAATCCCTATAAAACAGTACGATAACAGTCTATATAGTTATACAAAACAGATACAGAGACAGACGGGGAAATTAAAACACCCCTAAGCCATAACTTGACAGGTTCGGAACCTCGCAGTGAGGCACAGTGGTTGGCTTGACAAAACTGGAGCTTAACCCCGATGCTTCTAGCCGCGGTTTGGTACCTGTACACCTACATATATATATGAGCAGTGAGCTAAAGCCCAATGAATAACGTAATGCATAAAGAGGTTAAGAATGAATGTCCTTACAGTAATGGAAGCAGTTCGTTAATTCAGTATATCAGTCATTCAGTCACATGTGGTACATCCATTAGCATAACAGTACAGTAAATAGTAGGTCTTAAAAGACCGAACAGTAAATGATGGCCATCAGTCAGTAAACAGTAGTGGTTTCAACAAGGGAACCGACAGAGATCTCTGTAACAGTAACAGTAAACAGTAATTGCTAAGGATGCCACAATACAGTTCAGAATATAGGACATACATTCATTCAATTAATAGTATCAGTTCAGAAAGCAGCACAGTTCAATTGTTCAGAAGATAATCATTTTGAACATATCTTTACACAGTTATTACTCACAGAGTTCTGGGCTACAGTAAAGCTACAGCGCGTCCCCAGTCGCCAACCCTATACAGTTTACAGATTGAACATACACTAAGCTACACAGTTGGGAAAATAATAACTTAATCCCTAATTTGCCTCGGTGTGGTTCTACATCTATATCCTCATTAAGATGCCTTAAACTAGGCCTAATAATGCCTAGGGTGAGATGAGGATGCAAAGATGCACTTTAAAAGTATTTTCAGAATTTTCAGAAAACAGGGGTCACGCTCGAGCGTATGTTACTCCGCTCGAGCGGACATGCAGACAAAGGTTTCCGCTCGAGCATAGACTTACCCGCTCGTGCGTTCTGCAAAATAGTTAAAAGTGCTGGATAAGTGAAAATCACGCTCGATTGGGCGCTCGACACCCGCTCGAGCATGAGACACAATGTCCCGCTCGAGCGTCAATTATTCCGCTCGAGCGGACATCAAAACAGCGCAAAGTACTGGGAGCACGAATTTCACGCTCAAGCACTAGTCACCCCGCTCGAGTGTGAGTTCAAAATCTGAAATTTCCAGATTTGACCTTCCAAGCTCAAACCAAGTTCAAATGCATTAAACCCAATTCCTTTGGGCCCTTTTCCCTGGAAAACATTTGTAAATACATAGAATAACATAATTCAAAGCTCAATTTGTAAAATCAAGGCCCAAAAGGAAGATCAATTCAACTCAATTTGAAACCAATTTTCATGAACATAATTCAAACATAACATGTATGAATTTAAACCATTTCAAAGCTTCAATTTCATGCTCTAATGAGCCAATTCTTCCAAGAACAAGATGAAATCATGAACTTAAACACAATATGAACGTGCATATAACATTTTACCATGAAATCAACTCATAACTCAACAATTCAAACATGCATGCATGGAATGAACTCCAATTC